TAATCAGGTTTTTATTGCACAACTTACAAAGTTTTTTACAATGTCTTATCATTAATTTACTTATATTTATCTCACAATTTTTGGTTTATGCTCAATTCACCCCTCCTCTACGAATATTTATCAACAATCTTAAAATCAAACTATCTATAACTATAAATAACTAAATCTCACTCATATTCGTCTTCGATAATATTTTTTTGTTTTCTTTTCTTTTCAAATATCTCTCATCGAGAGTTTAATTATTCATAATTAATCTATCTTTTCTATATATCTATCATTTTTTAATCTTGTCTAATTAATTATATATTTTTTTTTATGTTACAGACGAATCTCATTGTTCAGTCAACAACTCGTATATAACATCATGTCGAACGAAATGAAATTCTTTGAATCGAAAAAAAAGGAGACTAATTTAAATCGTCCTATCGTTAACGGATAACGAATTTCTCATTAATTTTCGATTAATATTAAATATATTTTAAACAAGAGAGATAGAAGAATTATTGAGAAAAATTTAATTATTCGATTATGATGACATCGAGCTAACATCGATTATTAACCAAACAGAAAGAAGAAAAAGAAGAAGAAGGAGAAAAAAACAATAACAAAATTAATTATTATAAAGAAAATTCGTATTTTGTATTAGAATTATAAAAGATTTACCATCGATGATTTCTAAATCGACGTTTAAGGGTCATTCTTCGTTCGATCGAGATGAAGCTGAACGATAATCTGACAATGGAGGGTAAGTTTTCGATAGATACAGAAAAAAATCGAATAAAAAATATAATGAAAGAAAAAAAAAAAGAAAAGAAAAAACGAAATACTTATATAATATAAAAGAAAGGAGAGGGGGAGGAGAGGATTGTTCGAATCATCGAGCGTGAAACGAACGAGTGCTAAGCTTTTCTCGTTTATTCGGTCCTTTCCTCGATTTATTTCAACCATACGAATTCGTTTTACGTGCTTCTTCCTATACCGTCAAAACGTATTAGATTTTTTTCTATTTTTTTTTTTTTTTTTTTTTTTTTTTTTTTTTTTTTTTTTTTTTTTTTTTTTCTAGGATTTCTTTCCAGGTCACACGATTGATAGTTTACTCGAGATATTTGTAAAAGAATATTTTTTTCAAAACACAACAAAGATAGAAAATGTTACAATTTTTTGTTTTTTTTTTTAAATCCCTATACCAATTTGATCTATTCTTTTCTTTTTGTATTTTTTAATAATATTCCAACGAAAAGATGCTTTGGAATATCGAAATCGATATATTAAGAATTTACATTACTTTTTTTCTTTAAAGTGGTTAAGTTTTCATCCTTTCGTTTCTTTCTTTCGTTCTCTCTTTCTCTTTCTCTTTTTTATTTTTATTTCTCAACTTTGCACTCTTCTTTCTTTCCACTTACCGAACTTGGTGCTCCTTTTTTTTCTTTTTTTTATTTTTTTTCTTATCGAATAAGCATACAAACGAGAGAAACTTTTAAATTCTCCTTGTGGGAATAGTTTTAACCTTTAAAAATTAGTTCGAGGAAACCGCAAGTGCATTTTCTTTTTCTATCTCTCTCTCTCTCTCTCTCTCTCTCTCTTTCATTTCTTTTTTCGGTAAAAGATAAATCGTACGTGCGGTTTCGTCGATAAAGTTTAGAAATTTCGAAAGAAGTCGATCGCGAGAATATTTTTTTTCTTTTTTTCGAGTACTTTCTTTTTTTTCTTTTTGTTTTTTTTCTGTGTTACGATTATAACCTCGGCCACGTACGAGTTAAAGGAAACTTTTCTTACTATCCAATTTACATGATTTGTAAGCTCGTATGTTAGATGAAATTCAAAATTGTTATCGAACTAATCGAAGTCCGCGTTAGTTCCGAAGTTAATCATTTTAAGAACACCCTTCTTCACCCTACCTTTCCACCCCCTCCTTTAAAACCCCTAATATGAAACTTTCCTTTTAGATAGGTCCTGTCGAAACGTGCTTAAACTCCTTGACGTGGTATAAACGTCCCTAAATCTTTATTGATCTTTCTCATTTAATATTCTCCATTTACTATGACTTTATTCCATTTTCTAATAGCTCATCTCACTTCAGACCATTTCCAAAGGAATTTCTAAAGGAATATAGGAATGATAAAGGATCGGCCGAAAATTATTACCGACACATTTAACGAAAATTTATTATTACTTTTCGACAACAAATATTCGTAGTTTTTTTTTTTTACAATTTTGTTAAAAAAAAAATAATTATTAGGACGAACGAATTAGGACGAATGATATTTTTAAAGTTATCACAAATTTTTTCTAACGGGTTTTATATTAAATTATTATACCGAACTTGTTTTTTTTTTTTTTGGTTTTTAATTCTTATCGTTGTTTTAAATAATCCAACGATTAGAAAAATCATTTAAGTTTGTTGATTTTAATAATTATTTTTGACAAAACAAAATTCTTATGATATCATAGAAAGTTAAAAAAAGAATACCATCGAGATGATTACAAACGATGATATGTCGTAAGATCCGATCGATGTGTTTTTTTTTACAATTAGAATTTCGTTGTCCTTGAGGACAAGAGAAAGGCTTTAAATAACGCGTTCGAATGATAGAACGATGGCCCTCGACCTAATTTCCACTCGAGTTCACCAACCTTTTTATTTTTGGTCACGTATGCATGTAATCCTCCACGAATGAGAGAAACACGAAGAGAGAGAGAGAGAGAAAAAAACACACACACACATACACAAAAAGAAAGAACAGTCATCGACTTTTGTCTCGTATCGATCTCGTCTAAAATTATCGCGAGTCTAAGCAAACATTAGGAAAAAGAAAAAGAAATAATTAATGAAAGTGTGTGTATTATTTATTGGATTGGCAATCAAGTGATTGCGAATCTTATCTATTGACAAATCACATTTAATTCTATTTTTTGTGATAGCAAATATCAGAAATTTGATGAACTTTGAATTATGATACCCCCTAAACGATGGCAAAAGCGTCATCATCGACAAAAACGTGTACAGTATCTATAATTGAATAAAGTTATATTTATTTTTCAGGAAAAAAGTTAAAATTTTCTTTCTTATTTAAAATCCTCAATCACTTTAGTTGTCAATCCAATAGAAAAAGTTGACACAAAGTCTGTTAATAAATTTATCAAAAATAATGATTATACATAGAAGTTTCGTGTAACATTCGAGAGAAATATGAGCTGCGTTTACTGCACAAATCGATTAACTCGACTTTTTGCAAAAAATTTAAGTGTAAAGGGGCACATGGTAGTATAATCATAACTTTTTTACATTTATACACAAATTTTCCCAAATATAAAAGATTAACACCGTTAAACGACAATATTTTTTTTTATGTGTGGCCACTGAATAATAAATAATTTATTTCAAAGGTCATTTTTTTTTTTTTTTTGATTAACTTCGTACTTTTAATGGAAATCGTTGCGGTAATTCAAACTCAAATGTACTAGCAAGCGCTTTGTTTTTTTTTTTGTTTCTTTCCCACACAATTTATTTGAATTTATATTATAAAATGAATTTTAAAAACCAGTTTCATTCAATTATTTCATCGCATTACCTCACTTTTTCTTTTATTATATGGTATTAATCGATTTGTGCAATAGCGAACGGCTCATATATTTATTATTCGTTAGTTTGTTGTGATCGCATGGCAACGAATTCAATTGTTCTTGTTATAAAATTTCGAGATAATTAATTTCATAAGGATCACGATTACGTGACTACACATTAAACATAAATAATTATTTTAATTAAAGACACTTTGAATTTGTTAAAGAAAAATTAAAAAGAAAAATAAAAAACGAACAAAATAATAAAAATAAAACTAAACGTGATAATAATAATTGTTCACGAGTGTTGGGGATGGTTTGTTTTTTTCCTTGTAAAGAAAATGAACGTTTTCATTAGGGTAATAAAAAAAAAAAGTATCGTGAACAAGTATACGATGAAATTTTAGAAGAAAAAGAAGAGGATACTGAGGTGTGTGAGGGGTAAAGAGAGAAATACGAAGAAATACATTAATTATAAGAAACGTGAGAACGATGTCTCGGGTTATCGAATCGTTATCATAAGAAATCGATATGTGATTTGAGTGAAAGTGTAATGGGGGAAGAATCTCTTTCCACTCTCTCTCTCTTTCTCTTTCTCTCTCTATCTCTATCTCTCTTTCTCTTTTCGTGTAATGGAACAACTCGAGTATATATAAATTTATCGGAAATTGTTCGTTTCCTCTTCGTATACGAATTACCTATCATTATAGTAGTGAGTCGTCTAAAACGACAGATGTAATAGAAAACTACTCGAATTAATATATAATATATTATATATAATAAAATATATAATATTATAATATTATATATAATATATTATAATATATTAATATATATATATATATTTTTATATTTATTTTTATCGGGTATATTTTGTAAAAGATAAATAAATACTTATGTGGAATCGCGCGGTTTTTGATTATTATTAACGAATAATGAAAACGATATATATGAGCCGTTTATTTTGAAAATGGTATAAGTCACTTTTTTTCTTTTTTAATTAAAAATGAAAAAATACCGTTCAGTTGTAATTAGTGTTACCATTGACTCGGTTTTTTTTGAAAAAGTGACTTATGCCACTTTCAAAATAAACGGCTCATATTATAAATAAAAAAATCTATCGTAAATCGTGTCGAGTAAACATTTTTTATGTTTCTTTTTTTTCTTTTTCATTTATTTCATTTTTCTTTTCTCATTCATTCGTATTTCATTGGTCAACGTAATATCATTGATACGCTCGTGTTGTATTTCCCCTTCCCATTCCACCCCCTTCACCTTATTATTGTATCAACGTTATTACATTCGGTTTATGGTTTATAGAAGAAGCATTATGAATTGTGTTCTATCCCCCTTCTGTTTCTCTTTTCCATTTTCATTCGATGAATGTCAGGTACGAGAATACAGAGAAAAGGCATCCACCGTTCGTTTCCAAGCATCGTTGCACTTTCCATCTTTCTAATGATAATAGTTTAACGGGAAATTTCTACTCGTTGTTCGGATCCTTTCATTCATGATTTCAATGTTCCGTTGATGTTTATTCTACCGTGTTCGGATAATAATAACAATGGTATACGTGAGAGAATCATATGTTATATATTAATGCATTCAACACACACACATATCTTATTTATGTGTCTATTATATAAATTATAATTTGTTTTAATACTCTCAAATGGGAATGAAAAGGACGATTGGTGGGCGGGGGAAGGGAAGGGGGGGGGTGGAGAGATGGCACGATTGGTTCCAACGAATCGAATATACGAAAATACAAAATAATTTATGTGAAATGAGACCAAAACAAAATGTATTTTCAAAAGGTATACTATAATTGAGTATTACTTTCTCTTTCTCATTATATCTCATTAAATATTATTAGATTGTACATCTAATAGAAATGTGACGATGAGGTGGAGTAGGAGGAAGAGGAGGAGGGGGGAGGAGGGTGGTAAGGATGGAATTGTTCTAGTTTATTTTCGCAGAGGGCAATTTATTTGATTCGATCGTTCATTTAGAGCACACTTGAACGAGTTGCTGCTAACAGTCGAACGAAATCAAACTAACGAGCTTTCTGCATCGGACGTTCCCCATAATTGGATTATCACGATCAGAAGACGTTTGTAGAAGAGTACCTGTGTGTAACTTAAACTAAATAAGAGAGATTACATGGAAGGAAAGTTCGTA